CTGATGGGAGAAGCCTCTGTCGCTTATTGGTCAATTGGAGAGTTTCGAAAAGCCCGCGCTGGCCGGTGGTACCGGGTCGGCGCGTCCCCGGACAGCTCGTCCTGCCGGAGCGTCTGCCCGGCCTTAGAGGTGCCTTCGCTTCTCCTGGTCTTCTTGTCCTTGTCTTCCGCTCTAAAAGGCTGCTCCCCGTCTGCTCGTACAGAAGGGAAATTTTTTAAGCTCAGACTATCTCGGGAGAGCCATGCGAAAAAAGTGATGGAGTTCTTTTGTTTTCTCCTCAGACTCATTTTTCCGAGCGGGTGTGTTTATGTGTCTACTGGAAGCTACGTAAATTTCTTAATTATAATAAAACGTGTAGTATGATGCATCACACCTCACTCTTCTCCTGGAAAGAAAAAAAGAGTACTGCTTAGACTTATTGGAAAAGTAAATCATTGAACGTGAATTAATTAACACATTTAAACTTGCTTGAAGCTGTAAAGTACTCATCAAGGATTTCAGAAACAAATTTTAAACATTATAAGCTCCGATAACTGTGATTAAAGATATTTGTTTCAAGTTCCATTTGCCGTTTAAGCACATTCACACCTAAAACGGCCGAGACATTACTGTGTTAAAGCTCTTTCAGGGAGCAAGTGGGGTGGCTCTTAAAAGAGCCTTTGGGTTATAGTTAAAAACTGCTTTACTTGGAGCTGGTGTACTTGGTGACGGCCTTGGTGCCCTCGGAGACGGCGTGCTTGGCCAGCTCGCCGGGCAGCAGCAGCCGCACGGCCGTCCGGATCTCCCGCGAGGTGATGGTCGAGCGCTTGTTGTAGTGCGCCCGGCGCGCGGCCTCGCCGGCGATGCGCTCAAAGATGTCGTTGACGAACGAGTTCATGATGCCCATGGCCTTAGACGAGATGCCCGTGTCCGGGTGCACCTGCTTCAGCACCTTGTACACGTAGATCGAGTAGCTCTCCTTCCTTGCTCTTTTGCGCTTCTTGTCGCCCTTCTTCTGCGTCTTAGTCACCGCCTTCTTGGAGCCCTTCTTGGGCGCAGGAGCGGACTTCGCCGGCTCAGGCATCTCGACCGCACTATCCCTGCTCTTCAGAACAAAATCAGCACCTAAAATGGCCGCAGCGCCCTCTATTTATAGGACTGTTATGCAAATACAAGCCCTCTGACGCACACAATTCCATTGGATTTACCGGCAAAGGGGTGTGTTTTTGCATCTGATTGGTCACAGTACGATCCGTCGTTTCATTGGTTGCGTACGCGACAGCTGCTTCCAAGCCAATCACCAAGCCCTAATTCCGCCCAGGGAAGGGATATAACGGGCAGAGGCGTCGCATCAAAGCGATTACATCGGTTCGGGTCTGCGGAGGGCAGTTGTAATATCTCAAGCACCTGAAGTATGTCTGGCCGCGGGAAGCAGGGAGGCAAAGTCCGAGCCAAGGCCAAGTCGCGCTCGTCGCGGGCCGGGCTGCAGTTCCCCGTGGGCCGTGTGCACCGGCTCCTCCGGAAAGGTAACTACGCGGAGCGGGTCGGGGCTGGAGCGCCCGTCTATATGGCGGCCGTGCTGGAGTACCTGACGGCCGAGATCCTGGAGCTGGCGGGCAACGCGGCCCGCGACAACAAGAAGACGCGCATCATCCCGCGCCACCTGCAGCTGGCCATCCGCAACGACCAGGAGCTCAACAAGCTGCTGGGCAAGGTGACCATCGCGCAGGGCGGGGTGCTGCCCAACATCCAGGCCGTGCTGCTCCCCAAGAAGACCGACAGCCACAAGGCTAAAAGCAAATAAGTTCTCTAAGCAAATCTGCTCACATAGTTAATAACATAGCATTGTAACCCAAAGGCTCTTTTCAGAGCCACCCACACAGTCAGAAAAGAGTTGCTTTGCTTGCTTTACAAAAGTGTTTTGGTGCTAAGTTTTTCTTACGTTGCCTTTGTTAGGGAGCTATAACAATATTCTGTGGTTATGTTTTAAAACTTTTGATTCCTACCTGAATGTATTTCCTTTCCATCTCCTTATTCTTTTTAATGAGCAAATGCTAAATATGTTTGTATTGATTTATTGGTTCTTGCATGTTTGTCTTGCAACAGTATCAGAAAACCACTTTTTCTCAGTGTTGAAACTGCTTATTTCCATGACTTTACAGTCAGCTTACTGTGTGAACCGTAAGGGGAGAGGCAGCTGAAAGAATGGGGAGGAGTGGGAGAAGCTATGGAGCATGAAAATAAACAGCAAATCACCACATAGCTATAGCTAAGAACAAAGAATGGCTTCCTTTGTAGGCCTTTGGTCTTTAAAATATGTAAAGTTTCCCTGTGACTTAGCTTTATTTAGAAATAAAATTAGAAATGCTTTAGGGGAAATAAGGATCTACATCAAAAGCAGCTAACTAGTCAGACCTGCAAGAAAGTAGCATCTTTCCATCTGGAAGAAACTCCTTGCAGTGCTGGTATGTTCCTGTTTTAAGTGGGATTTTCAATCTTGCCACTCTTAAATTCCCCTCACTGTGCACAGCTTTTTCTCTTGTTACATTAGTTAACAGCAGGCAATGTTGATGGAATTAATCTACATTGCTGGCACAAGTATCGCCCGAGAGCACAATGTGAAAGCTCTTTAGAGTCACTGTTATAAATTGAGAAACACTGTGTAGCTGATATCTCTTGCTAGGATGTTCCTAGAAGCTGTACCTGCCGGTCTGCAGCACCCTGCATTGAGGCTGTAGATCCCACCATTGCAGCACCTCTGCCCTTCCTGTCCCCTGAGGAGAAGGCAGAATGCTTGGGGCCTGGAAGGGAGATGCCACCTGTAACAAGATACTACCGCTGACATCTTGCCACCCTACCCCCAAGCTGCAGCGGAGAGGCTTTTTAGATAGGACTGTATGTTGGCCAAGGGGCACATCAGGGATTGTTTGTGGAGAGAAACTAAAGTTTGGTGCTAAAGCACCAGACACTTCTGATATGGTGACAGTATCTGTGCCTAAGGGTTTTGTTTGCAAATGGATACATTTAGAGCTGTAAAGTTTTCATTATGCTATTTTATTGATTCTCATTAGCTGCAGATACATATCTTCTAGCACTTATACTTCTCTTCTTGAATAACTGTGACAATATAAAAACTGTGTTTTAACGTACACAAGTCTCCTGTATTTAGTTTCCAGAACAGATCCCTGCACATATGTGTGTCAGAAGATGGCAATCATAGAATGGTTTGGGTTGGAAGGGATCATCAAATATCATCTAGTCCAACCCCCTTGCTGTGGATAGAGACATCTTCCACTAGATCAAATTGCTCAAAGTTCCATCCAACCTGAGTTTGAACACTTCCAGGGATGGGGCATCCACAACTTCTCTGGGTAACATGGCCCTGTGTCTCACCACCCTTCTTGCAAAAAATTTCCTCCTGCTATCTGATTTAAATCTACCCTCTTTTAGTTTAAAACTGTTTCCCCCTGTCCTGTCATCTTTTTACCTACCTTGGTAAAAAGCCTCTCTCCATCTTCCTACATTGAAAGTCTGCAATAAGGTCTCCCCACAGCCTTCTCATGTCTAGGCTGAACAACCCCAACTCTTTCAGCCTTTCCACATGGGAGAGGTGCTCCAGCCCTCTGATCACTTCTGTGGTCTTTCTCTGGACCCAATCCAATAGGTCCATGTCCTTTGTGTGCTGAGAGCTCCAGAGCTGGACATGGTACTCCAGGTGGGGTTTCACCAGGGAGGAGCAGAAGGGGAGAATCATCTCCCTCAACATTCTAGCCATGCTGCTTTTAATGCAACCCAGGATATGATGGGCTTTCTGGTCTGCAAGCGTGCATCTGTAGATCAAAGCACTGGAATTCCAGAGAAAACTCATGGGGGTGGAGGTATCTGTATCCAGGAGTGGGATTTCTCCATGAACAAAGTCCTATATGTGGAAATTGGAGTTGGTACTACAGAAAAGGGCCCTGTCCTTCGCTGAGCATGGAGGTAAGTCCAGCACATCTCCACAAATTCTTCTTGTCATCTGACCAGAAATTCATTATTTTCTTCAGGATTTCATTCTAAGCACCTCTTATTTCACTCACTGTTCTGATCACCTCTGTACTGTAACTGGAGTTTCAGGCTCTGTGATACTGAGGACTATTTCTCAGCATTCACATTTTTTGTTGTTCTTAGCCACTAGTAGTTGTACCAGTTGTGAACCCTGTGCTGCCATCATACTGAGGAGGCCTCAAATGTAAATGTCCTGTAAGTCAGATGGTTTATGATAAGCATGCTGGCAAACCTGCTGGTATTAAAGGCTCCTGGCTTTCAAGCAAATTCTACTTGATTGCAGCGATGTAGCAAAGCAAGTTTAAATAAATGACCTTTCATTTGCATATACAACAAAGAGTAGTAAAGAGGAAATCCGTACCATACAGCGCCTCAGCTGTATCTCTGGGTTCCAATGCACCTTCCCATTCTAAATAACCTGTGATGCAAAAAACCCCCCAACAAAGCTCCTGCAAGTGTTATACAACAGAGTTCTGTTTAGGGATAACTGAATAATTTCAGTCTATATATCAAGAGTCTTGGAATTGCATAGTTTATGAGTATGATGAAAGGATTTGCTGTCCCTTTTCTCCTTCAGTTCATTCATGGTGTTAGGAATAATGTATCTGCTAAAAAAATCTTACATTAGTTTGCATATCACTAATATCATGACGCTTTCAGCAGATACAGATATGGATTTAAATTGCCTTATAACCTCTCAAGAACATTCAGAGCAACTTTGTAGTTGGATATACTACACTGATGTAATGATTTTTTTACTAATTTTGTACTTTCTTGTGCAGTCATGGTGAGATGTTGCCTTGTTGCAACAAAAAAATGCAGTTTGCTCTTTATGGTTTAATGAGGAAACAGGGCAACTGTTCTAACTAAAACCCACTTCAAAAGCTACAGACTTTTTTTAAGTCAAGCAGAGTTTTGCAAAGATTTCCATTCTCTTTTGACTGCTAGTACTGTGTGTCCAAACTCATGAGCAAAATGTATTTCCTATAATGTAGGGATTGGATCCTAAACTTTGATTCAAGTACTGATAATGGTTTCCATCCACAGTAAAACAACTTCATTAGGAACTATACTCAGCAGTAAAATTGTCTGTCCACTTGAATGCTTTTTGTCTAAGAAAACCCTCTGGTCCGTGAGAGAACTGACTGTGTCACCTACAGAAACGCTTGGCAAACGTATCTGTGGCCACTTGCAGCAACCTGCAGGCAAGGCATTTTTCTAGAAAGCATGATATTAAATTATATCAAATGTGCTCCACACTTTGGGGAAAGAGGTTTGCATTTCATTAATCTCTAAGCTACTGTTCTTAGCCTCTGCATCACCCATTTCTGCCAGGACACCGTGGAAGATGATTTTCTCAGTCTTGCGGTGGTTATACTGCTAGAGGGAAAAGTTCTGCTAGGATACTTACCCCGCACTTAGGAAGAGTCATGAAGAAATTATGATTTTTGACACACTAAAAGATTTCTTGTAATTTCTTTAGGCTTCCTTTAGTATTCAGAAGGTTGTTTCTAACTCCCTCAGGAATCAGAACTAGAAACAGACCTTCAGGTATAAAGAGCAAAGCGGACTTTGTGGGGCCACATGTACCTGTTAGGCATCAGCGTGGCAGGTCCACTAGTGCCAAACCTTCCAGTTAGTCTGTAAACAGTTTTAGTTCATTCTGTTCGGTCAAAAATCGCATGTAATATAAATTAAAGCTACTTCTGCTTGCTTATTTTCTATATATTTAAGAGTAATTTCTTTCATTTTGATATGTTTAAAATAACAGTTTGAATGAAAATTTAATTCACAGTGATAAATATAATAATAGAAGAGACTTGTACTTTTTTGACACCTGTACCTTTATACTGAATATCTCAATCACATTTTCTCCTGAATCTAGGGAATACATTCTGCCAAGAAATATTCTGGAGATGTTGCCTAAGTTCTGTAACCTGTGTTAAGGAGTGAAGTTACATTGAAAACTGTACAAATTTTATCAGATATCAATCATTTATAAATGGTAGAAAACTTTAAAGCGCACAAAGTACTAATAATATAAAAAATGGCAAGTACCATGACCATATCACTTCTATTCTCCCAAAGTTATATCTAAAATCATAAAACATTTAATTTTAAAGTACAGTCTCGTAACTCTTTCAGTATCTATTCATGCACTTTGCAGACACCGTCCAACACATTGTATCAGCACGTACTTCAGGTTTGTTACCAAAAGTGCGAAATTCCCAGCTAAGTTTCCGGATTGCTCCTTCGACGAAAAAATAATCGGTTATTGCTCATTTTTCAGACGTCATACAGACGTCTGGGTAGTAATGTCCTTAATGTTGCTTCTCCCCTCGGATCCAGCTGTACGCTGCCGAGCCCTGCCTGTTTCGGACTCTGGCAGCTGCCCGGAGCGGGCCCGGCGCCCGCGGACAGCGCTGCCCCGGGGACCGCACTGCGGGGCCGGGGGGTGGGAGA